AAGCAGCCGCCATTTTTTTCACTTCAAATTTTGAATCGCATTGAATGTCAAGGTCGTCGCTATTCCGATACGGCCATTCTCCTTAGAGTAGTAGAAATATAAATACACATCACAGCACTGAACATATTGATTGCAGATTAAAAATGTCGAGTTGCAACCCTGTGAGCCAATCCGCCTCAGATTAGCACTGTCCCGGGAGTGCACCTACCCGGAGGTTTCCTGCACTCCATGGTCAAAGATGAGTGATGGTTCGATTAAAACAAATTATTTGCAGTTGAAATTAGATTTAGTCCATTCTCACCCGATCAACGGAACAACCAGACACAAAACGTTTTGTACTTTTATCATGGTATCGAGTCATGCTGTATTATCCAGCAAGTAGCCCTGGGGAACCCGCTTGCAGATTGGGGTGCGTTATTTTATAACTCTTATGTGAACATGTCACTTATAAGTTGTCCTATACGACGTGACGTGTGAGGGTCAACAAAATTAAAAAACATAAACGCCGACCCAAGCACAAACAAAGGCTCATTTCATTGTGCCGAGGTGACATTAAATAGAATGAGTTTATTGTACATTGTACATTGTTCATTGTATATTGACGATACAAGACCGAGTACGATGAGTAATCTGAAGTCCAATGAGTAATTTAGAGTACATTGAGTAATACGGGCTACAATAAGTATTTCCGTTTTTTTGTAGGAAACCAATTAAGTGTCTACACTATTGAAACTTGAAACGCCAGATAATTAACAAGTTTCTATGTTACGTAATACTATATTGATTAATACGTTTTTACGTTTATCTCAGCGTTTATAAGGCATTGATCAATGCGTTTATTGACATGTTTTTGTGTTTATTTTTGAAATAATAACACGAAAAGTGTATTTAAAAGAAACATTATAACGTGTTTATGTGTTTTTATTTTAAACACAAAAACGTGTTTCAGGGCTTGCAACAAATAATTGATACGAAAACGAATTTATCTCCAATAATGTGTTAATAAAGTGTTAATGTTAAACACTTCTGAAACACTTAAAAACATAACCGGTCATAAGGATGCAGACGAAATTGGTTAGTTCTGTTTCTTCATATTTTGTTCATAAAAGTCGTCCGTAATACCAAGGAATGCGTTCGACATCTTTCGACATGTCTCTCATGAAAAATTAATTTCTTCATATTGACTCAACGCCTATTACAACGTATTTTAACGCTTTGTGTTTATTCGGGGGGTCATCCACCATTTTGAAATATAATCTAAGCATCTTGACATTTTTCATATGGAATTATGGGACATACAAAATGTGGTATAATTTAGTATACATGCCCATCGTATTCCTTGGTATTAAGTGCATAAGAAGTCAACGAACATTCTATGAGTACAACCATGTACTATTAAATAAAACATGAAGAAACAGAACTTACCAATTTTCGTCTGCACCATTATGAACTAGAAGTGAGTTGCTCTTATCCCGTACCAGAGCCCTCATTATCCGGTCAGCGCTAAATTAGCGTTGCGATTTGCGTTGCGCTTGCGAATCAACATTATTCGCAAGCGCAAATCATGTTTTGCGTCGTATTACGCGCTTCACGCAAACGCAGACGCAACGCAGACGCAACAGTATGCTAATCGCAAATAAATTGGAAACGCGGGAAATTTAAACTTAGAGCTCAAAATAGATTTATCGATTTTTTAATGTCTATGTATATGTTTACGCCAGTGCGGATGTGTCAATCCCATACTTGGACGTGTTATAGGTACAATTAAGCTGGTTTGTAAAAACTTTTATTCCATACTGTGACTTAGTAGTGTTATAGGTATATAACATGCGGGAATATAACTGATATGTGACGTGAGCGGGAGATATATATATCCCGCTCAGCAGATCTACGACGTCATAAATTCAGGGAGTAGATACTGAGCCAGGGGACTTTGCTATTATTCCTCACAATCTACTAAGTATAGAATAAATCAGTTATTAAATGCTCGATTTTTGATACAGGGTATATCCCTCGGTAAATACAATATATCAACCCTCGGTCCCTACGGTCCCTCGGGTTGATATATTGTATTTCCCTCAGATATACCCTGTATCAAAAACCTCCCATTAAATAACCTCTATATATTTTCATCAGCGGTCAGATATAGCTATACGTCCCGCTCTGAGCGGGCAGATATAGTATATCTGCCCGCTGACGTCATAATCGCCGTTCGCATATTGGTTCATTTTTGTAACATGCGCTTAATTACTGTAAACGTTAATGGAGAAAAGGCAGACAATCGCGATCTGTTTGAAGGAAGGAAATGAGCGTATCCCTGTTAAACAAGGATTTCAAAAATAAATGTGGATGAATATCTGAAAATCAAGCTATTCTAAATGAATTCCTACGGTTGGTTGGAGATTTTCTGAACTCCGGCCAATTGAACAGCGTGAACAAAATGACCAAGATTGGTATGGGATAAACAGATCATCCTATAGTTCAATATCCTGAACCTCATATAGGATAATCTCTATTTATCCCATGATACTACTAATTCCCGATGAATAACCGGGAATATTTTTGATATTGAGAAAAAATCGTATTGAAAATTTTTGCCAAACAAAGCTTCCTCTTTCAATCAGTTGGGTCGATTTAGCATGCTAAAATGATGTTCTTATGTGAAAAACGAATTCCAGTTTTATCATCATCGCTCTGACACAGACAAAAATGCTTACGTATTGCTGAATGTTTTGATGTTGATGTGTTTATGTTACACATGTACAATAATTTTTTTATATTTAAAAATATCATAAAGCTAAGTCATATTTTCTTGATTAAATATACCATTTTTTCATAGAAAAAACTAACTAATGATTTTATGAAGACAGTTATGAGTATCATGGAATAAAAAGCTAATTTACTGGTCGGGATTAAATATGGGTTTATTCCTCATGACAATTTGATATTTCACATATTGTGAGGGACAATTTGGTATTTCCCTCTGACCCTCCGGGCTCTCGGTAAATATTATATTGTCCATCATAATAAAACCCATATTGAATCCCTCCCACTACATAACATTTATATATCTTGCGAAAATCTAGATCTGTCACTGGAAGGCAGCCCATCTTGAAAACAAGACACGGTGTCTTTGTAATTAGTCCGACTGATATAGCCTACCTAGAGAAAACCGCCGATACCTCAGCAACTCGAACCCTAATATTTTAATTTTAGCAGACGATATTTGCGAAATGGAATTGCGATATTTATTATAGATTTCACAAAACCAAGGTAGCATAATCGTGCACCTTCAGACTAGATTTTGATAAGTTTTGGTTATTTGTGTCTCTAATGTTTTTCAACCTATTTTTAGTTGGATGTCTCAAAGGGCACTTCCTAGATTTCTACAACGATAATGTTAATTTAAATAGGAAAACTATCAAGATTCTTGATGATATGTTTGCGATTTATATTGCGGCAGGGTCAGGGATGCCGCAAATAAAGTGGAGTTTGCGACATAAAAATCAACTGATTTACGTGGACGCAACTGTGCGATGACTGCATAATACCAATTTGCGTGCGGTTAGCAGTGTATTTGCGATGCGAAATGAAAATAGCGATGCGTCTACCGTGTAATAAGAAAACTGCGATTTGCGCTAAAGACGCAAAACAGCAATGAATTTGCGCTAGAGTGCCTTTGAGATGACCTCATAATATCGTTTTGCGTACGATTCGCTAAATATTTACGTTGCGATTGCGATTTGCGGTGCGTCGACCGGATAATGAGGCCTCAGGACTATAGTCCTGCATTGAGAGCATTCTTTTGCCTGTACGATTACAACTTGGGAGAATTATCTACGCCCCTTACACTTCAATTGATTCCTGGGTATTTTAGATTTCTTTTCGTGTAGTTGAATCCACAATTGTCTGGGTATATCGGCAGAACGGGAACATTTTTATTTTTCATCGAGAGATGTTCCATCACTTTTTAAGATGGCGGTTGGATTTAAAAGGGGATTCCCCGTTTGACTGACCCGGAAGTGGCCCGGAAGCACCAAAAAATGGAGGAATTTGACGGTTGAAATAAGTTAAATATTACACGCAAATTATGATTGAAAACGAAAATTTCTTTGTTCTGCCGATAAACCCAGACAATTGTGGATTCAACTACAAGAAAAGAATGCTAAGATACCAAGGAATCTATTGAAATAGGTATCTTAAGTGTAAGAAGCGTAGAAAATTCTCCCATGTTGTAATAGTACAGGCAAAAGAATAAGACGTTCGCAGGACTATAGTCCTGGCACGGGATAAAGTTGCTCCCATAAAACTACAGCGAACATTTGGAGATTCAGTTCAATGGCAAATGAGCCCTGTTTCTAAAATTTCTTTTCGAACGTGCCAATATGAAAGGTCATCTTTGGGAAATCTCCCCCCTGATTATGACCGGATATAGTTTGAAAGGACTGCGCATGCGCATCCCATTTTCTACATCTACGTTTTAAACGTGAGGCGTTTTTGAAGCGTAAACATAGTTAATTTGAACGGAGTTCAAAATCAAAGTGTTATAAGTGTTATAAAACGCGTCGTGTTAAAAAAGGTTCCCTAGTCTTGCTCAAAGACTGTATCCACCCCCGCCACCTTCACTCTCTTCACCTGGCAATATACAGTCTTGTAACGGGTCAATACAACCTACTTGAGATTTGTTTGTTCATGGTATAGGAAAAGTAGTACTTAAAACACTAGTTTGCTAGTTTTAAGAGTGTACCATTCCCCACGGTGAAACGTATGAACGTAATTACATCCCAACACTGCCCAAATATACAATTCATAGTACTAAAATATAAAGAAAAGATTGTCTTACTTAACATACTAAGCGTTTATTAAAAATGTACTTGCGAATACAAAAATATAACTACATCACCCTAGGCGAAGCGATATGCGTAGAGTTTTCGATATTTTGACAATATTAAGTCGTAATTAGTAGCGGGAGATTTAAATTTTAACTTTAAAAATTTGTGGTACAGCATTCATTTATTTTTGGTTTGATCTTCTTTTCCTTACTCACAACTCATTCCTAACTCATCCCTTACTCATTCCTAACTCATTCCGCGCATATCACTTCGCCCAGGGCATACAATTTAATCAAATTATACTTCAGATATACACAAAAATGACACATATTTGAAGCACAATTTTCTTACGGTCTCAATTCAATAATTTCAAATTATCAAACTGTGAAACAACGTTTGAGTTTTATATGAAACTATAAAAAGATATATTGCATTGTTAAATGTTGCAGATAGACCAGCTCCCGATCAACAGGGCTTCCCAGAGTTATGATTATTATAAAATTCCATTAATTCTCCAGGCGGTTGTTTTTTTCATGTGCATTTCCGCATCTGTACTGTCACAGATCTTCGACGTCGCGCAGATTATCTCTACTATCTTTCGTAGCATCTTTGGGGGTGGCCTCATTAAGTCGGGTGTAGTTGTCTCTTCTGCCAAGGGTGCTTTGGTAGATCGCGGCCGTAAATCCTCGAGTATCTCTTTCATTATCAATTTCCAAAGCCTCGGTGCTATTCCCAGTCGTCGTCCGAGGTTTTTAAGATATCGCACGATCACGGAATTTCGTCTTAATTTTCTCAAATATTGAATCAGAGCGGGTTTGTTGCGTCTAACGATAGTTATAATGTCAATCAATCTTTGTAGTTTCTTATTTGGGGATCTCGATGCCGAGATTGGCACCTCATTAGAAACGTCCAGCGCAACAATAGACTCATCGGGAATGTTTTGTACAGATGGCTGTTTTTCGCTCTGTTGCACGGCTATTTCAACATTGTCAACGTCGTCGTACTGCTTCAGTGGTGAACACTCGGACAAACAAGTAAATATAGACATCTAAAATCAAAAATACAATAAAGTCAAAAGCATGAAAGTAACAACATGAATTCTATATGAACATTGAAATATGGGTATTGTATTTTAAACTCAACATGAATATATACCCATATTGAAGCACGAGTGTATATGATTGTATTGACATCAGCAAAACTATATTATATATGAAACAACATATTGTAAAATTGTACTTCATAAAAAGATTAAAATAAGAAATAAATAGAAATCAAGTCAAAAGCCAACTTAAATCAAATTAATATTATGAGCGATACTTATTGAATAAACTATGATTTATTTCAAAATTATTTAAGCGTCTATCAAACTGATCCACCAAAGCACTAAAGACGGCACTAAAGAGTTGCCCACATTGGTCATAACTCTGGAAATGTTAACACTAGAAAAATCAATAACTTTCTTAACCATAACAATAGTTTTAATTGTATGGAAATATGCTTTAATGATTGTCCTTGAATATCCAGTTATAACATGAAAATCTAATTCATCCCAAGACTCTCGTTCACCAACATATTTCCTAATATTTTAGTGGATTCTTATCTTATTTTTCTTATCCGAGGAAATGAAAAATGTTGTTGATTATATATTTTCTGATCAGATTGTGAAACATATTTATTCATTAAAATTTGATTTTTTGAACACACGAAATCATACGAATCTCAAAATAACTTACCAGTATTAATAATATTAGTGGTCGTTTGGATGAGAATCTAGACTCCATTATGAGATGTATTATCACAAGTAGTTTATTTGCACTATATGGTATTTATATTGTTCTTACTCCTTGGCGTTTTATTGTCTTAGAGTTTAAAAATCTATCGCCTGTCTTCATAACTATCACGTCTTCTAACTGAATTATAGTTTTGGCAAGTGTCGCTACACGTACCACTAAGTTACAGATACTGATGCAAATTGTGAGAAAATGAACATGACATAATTGATTGTAAACACTCTTATCAAATAAGTAGAACCACGCTTACCTCGAAGGGTTGGGCAAGGGATTGGTGCACCTCGGAGTGTTGCCCTGGAGTGAAACATTGAATTGCTTCTTTAATTAATCACTTTTGAGACTCGATCTACTAGAAAATTATCATCTTTAACTGACACCAAGGGCTATTAACTTAATATAGGTGTTCAAAATCCAATTTATTTGATTCGAAACAATCAGTGATTAAGACTCTGCAGTCATCGTGTAGAGGAGGTTGGTGATAATCGACAAAAGTGCTAGTATGTAACATATATAAGCTATGTAAGTACATAGTCCATAGAAAACATAGGCTTTATATGTAAATACTATATAACATTTCAGTTAGAACACTGCAATCCTTAGAAAACATGTAATTATCGTAGATTTTCAGTTACTAAAACATAAAAGTGCGCATATGCGACATTTTCAGTCAGGTGCAAAGTACCAAAAAATTGACAATTTACGTAAAGTACAATCAAGAGTCAAGCCCTAGAACTATTCGTGAAACTTTTTTGATTGGATCGGTTCAGATCGCGCCAATCAGCGTTGTTTTTGAAGAATTGTAAGATTTCCATTTTCCAAACATTTATCTAACAAAATGCATTAATACGTTCCGAAAAGGTAAAACAAATTATGTTATCTTTCTAATATAAATTGCCCACACTCTTGGTTAATACACATACGAAATACAAACTTTAAGCTTAGCTTGTCAAGGTATATCCCCTGATTGTATTGTATGGTGGCTTAAAATCCAGATATCATCACGGACATGAAGAAACGGTGATTAATTGAGCCAGGTGATCGTGATAAGTCGTGTCACGTAATCTTGTTTTTATGTTGTTTATATGTGAGAATACTAAAGTTCCAACACTCTTAACATTTCCGTGTTTACTAGTGTCAAAGCAATTCTATTGGAAATTCACGATTTTTGATCATTCTTGTGTCATATTATGTGAATGGATACTTTGTGGGACAGTTTTTAAATTATGTGACTTTTCAATTTATGTTTAAAAATAAATCCATAGTGTGCCTGTTCTCGAAAATGGAAATTATTATATCAACATTGAGAATCAGAGCAAGTTACGAGGACACAACGTCCTCGCTTTAATATGAACGGCCTTTTGATAGCAAATAAGTATAAATGATTATATTGTATTAAGTCTACCTTGTATTCTTAAACAATACATCAGTCTAAAACATTTGAAAAGCCCTCGCGATCGCTCCTTGCCGATGCTGGATTATGAGACACCAGGGGGTCGTTAACAAGACCTTCAAAATGCTTTAAAATATTATATATGCATAAAATCATAGATTGGATGGCTGGAATGTCAACTTTTGCCAAACGGGTTTAATAAACAGTATTAAATGTTGTATTTGATGATCTTAAAGGCAGAATCGGATCTATAGGGGGTGACAAAATTACGAGCAATGTGTACAAATGACCTACCAATCTATTCCTTACAATATCAAATACAATATCTCCCAAAAGATTCACAATTTGTTATAATTTGGTGAAGTTATTAATGATTCAAAATGCAAAAATGGGTGGAAAATGTTTAAATTCTCCCAAATAATAAGAATGGTCCATTCTTATAGAAAAACAAAACATTATTGTAAAACTCTTTAGTTTTCCTGGAATGAAGTATGCACTTTTGTGATTTTTAGAAAATAGACATGACAACTAATGTCATGAGCCCAAAATATTCTAAAATTGAAACAATTTTTTGTTTAGCCTGCTTGTTATATCTGATTCTCTCTTTAAAATTCAAACCATTGTTTCTAAAATTGCGGGAAATTCAAACATTTGAAAATTTAAGATAAACAACTTTTTCCCGAACGTTTCTGTTAATGGTCCCCAGTTTAATGCATGTTTTGAATATATATAAAGTCAAATTGCAGTTAATTTGACTTTATATACACTTGAAGAGTCTCTACATTTTTCTGCTTATATGCCAGTATTGCTTAAAGCCTCACTATGCATATTTTCAACATTTTTGGCAAAAGAAAGACTTACTTTTGAACTTCACAGTGTACCCAATGGATTGACAAGTACTTAAGCTTTCATTAGACATAAAAAAACAGCTCAAACGGGCCACATCAAAGCTTACAATGAATTATTAAAAATATTTTTGATCTGTCAAGTTTTTATACATCAAGTTTTTACCATTGTCAATGATTCATTCATTTTTATAGATGTATCACCATCTTTTAAATCAAGAGTTACTTAAAACATGCACTTTGTCTTTACTTCAAATTCTGTTTTCTACCAGTTTCTCAGTTCAATATTAATGCAAATCAAGCTTTGTATCATACTTGAGCGGGTGTGTAAATAACATGTTTATATGATTCTTTGTTCCCTCTAAATTAAGCATAGTGGGCCTTTAATTGAAATTGAAAGTCTGTTTTGTGAAAACGTTGTGATGCACGTATGTGATGATAGAATGTGTAAACAGTGAAACACAGACAAAAAATAGTTCCAAATGAGCATTCAGATTTAAAAGTGAAAATAAAAAGTTTCAGCTAGATCTCTACTCCGAATCACTTGTCAATTTCCATTCAACATTTGAAAATTGGACACTAGGTAATTTCTTCATAACCAAATGTACATCATTTTCACATATAAAACTAATCAGGATTTGTCAGTTTCCCGACAGACAGAGAGCTTGACTAAATGTCCCTCCATTTTTGCGTTGACTTACCGACATGCAATTCAATGGCTTTGGCTTCAAAATAGCCAATGATTTTAACCAGTTTCCACATTCTAACAATCGAACAACCATGACATCTATAATATCTGATATTAATAATCTAAACATCAGAATTACGAATATGCGACTTTACCAAACATTCCCCTCTATAAGTTTAGAAAGTCAATTAAATTACGCGCAAACTACAAACTTATAAATAACTACAACCTTATATATAATTTCAACACGGTTGTCAAAACCTCATAATGATATATATGTATATGACCTTATATAGATGACTAAATGATAGATAGGGCGATCCAAAAGTTCGGATAAAACGATGCATCTTTTTCTTAAGTAAAGGTAATCACTTGAAATTTCTATGATTTATATGCCTTACAACGATTCTTCAAACATGAATCGGATACACACGTATCATTGTGAAAATAGCCTAATAAATATCTCATCTTCAAAATAAATATTTGCATTACATAGCAACAGTGTTATCTCAATATTGTTTACAATTGAAGTAGAACAACAGTTGAATTGTACTACATATAAGGACACGCTCACCGTGTACTAAACTTGGCCAATAGATAGGTATATTGTATTACTGTGTTGATACACCAACTCATATGCATGAATAGCAGGCATTGAGCTAGTAGTTTTTTCTTATGGTGGACTTGAATACAGTTATTTTAATTTCTAACGAATGTTTACTTGATATAGAGTTGGGACCCGACTACGAAAACACGACCATCCGAAAATGTCTTACTTGAAAAATATTCCATTTGCTAAATACCAAGCATCTGGCGAGGACTGCATAATAATCAATAATATAAATGGTGAATTTAGCACATTTCTGGGCGATAATTCTGCTGTGGCAGTAATGTGTCACCGAAGATTTGGCGTTGGAGCAGATGGTGTCCTGGAGGTAAGACGTCACGAAAAAGCAGACTTCGAAGTCATCTGGTACAACGCTAATGGACATAAAGGTATGCAGCAGACCCTATCTATGATTCAAGAAGCATCCAATCTCATCAGAGCATTAATGTTTATGATTAAGTGAAATTAAAGTGAATTAAACAAAATTAAACGACATTTCGAGGCAGTGGAGATGTAAGTCTATCGGACCAAAAATAAGCAATCAAAGGATCACAATTGCAATATTGTATGTACAATACATGTATATATATATATAATATGTATATAATACATTCGTTTTCAGAAACAAGACTTGCTTTTGTATATTTCAGATAACTTAATTTATGTGCAGTACACCTATGGCCTCTTGTAAAATAAGCACAGGATTTCATTCTGTGTTTTTATGAACTTCATTAACTGAATGTACTCAATGGCGAATCCAAAAATTAACAGGGGGGGGGACAAATTTTGAGTCTGGAAAAAACTTGCGCGCAAAAACATTTTTGGCCCCTGAAACCAAAAATTGGGCCCAAATTTTGAAAATGTTTAGGCCCATTTTTTGATAAAATTGGCCCAAAAAGGCCCATTTTTGAGGCCTTAAAAATGTTGGTTGTTTATTTTTAGGTTTGATAGAGTTGTATTTTCACCGCCTTGGACTGTAAACATCAACTCCTTTCATTGCAATGGCCGTTTAGCGAAGGCTTGTTCTGGACTAAAAGCATGTTTTAAGTGTTAATAGAACGTAACCAAGACCCATCATCCTAGCTATTACGATTTGGTTTTTACTTTTGAAAAATCCCCGGGGATTTTGTATTACTATAGATATCGGAAACTTTGGGAGAAACATGCACCATACGTTTGTTAAAGAGAATATTGTGTCTATTTTCATTTTAGGGACTTTTTGTGGAAATGGAACTCGATGTGTTGTGGCATACTTGTATGACAATGGTATTGTCTCGATGGCAGACCATGTTACCATTTTTGCGTGCGATGGCATCCACACAGGATATGAAGATAACAACAAGAACATATTTATAACACTCGAAGATATTGACGCAAAGAACATTGAGCATATCGACGAGGACGAATCCTTCATAAACACAGGCTCGCCACACCACATTAGATTCATCAAATGCGATTCATTAAGAAATATAGAATTTCAAGAACATGCTAAAAGTATTCGATATTCGGAGAGGTATGTCTCAGACGGTGTAAATGTCAACTTTGTGAAGGTGTTAAGTGAAAGGGACTATCTACTAGAGATGAGGACGTATTTGCGTGGTCTTGAAGGTGAGACAATCGGATGTGGAACTGGTTCAGTGGCGGCATCTATATGCCATCACATGCGCATGCGCATCACAGACGGACTCAGAGACGATGTCAATGAAGCTCCAGCGAAGTATACTGTCAAAATGGAAGGTGGTGATCAGAATGTTCACTTTTTGATGAAGAACGATGCAGATGGTAACACGGTAATTGTTGATATCACACTCAGTGGCGAAGTGTTTAAAGTTCACAACGGACTATTCTATACTTCTGCTTTCAAACGACCAAGTTAACAAAATATCTAAACTTAAGGATTTAAGGACTGTTCTCAATAGAATTTAATTTGATGGTGAAGCATCACGGTGACATCTGTCCATTTTCCATTCAGCTTCAAGATGGCCGTCCCGAACCTGTGCTTTCTCTCTCTCAATTTTATTTTTAATTTTCATGAGCCCAAATAATCATGAACTATTTTTATTCATATACGTATGCTAGCTGGGGTAATGAACCCAGTATATTCCTTCATTCATTATGTAATACCTTCATAGATCAAGAAGGGTTAAGATTAAAATTAATTATGTGTCAATGGCCGATTTTACTGACATAACAAAGGACAACAGTAACATGATTGGAGGAAGGCCTAGAGTCCATTTCACTGCTTCATTTCGTCAGTAGAACGGCAAGAATAAGAAATTGGGAGACCATTGTGCAATAATATATGGAAAAGTATGTTCATAATGTACATGAATGACATTTGTATATTTCAGATTTTTAATTTTTTTGTGCAATAAGCCTGTGCCGTCTTGTAATTTGAAGAATTTCAGCCATGTTAATCTTATTGAAAATAACATGGCAGAGAAACATCCAAATATAAGAGGCCACACACTTTATAAGCCAAACTAGAAGCAATCCAAGATATACAAATGTCATTCATGTACATTATGAATAAACTTTTCCATATATTATTGCACAATGGTCTCCCAATTTCTTATTTTTGCCGTTCTACTGACGAAATGAAGCAGTGAAATGGACTTTAGTGATATGGTATGAAAACAATTTATCAGCTAGTCGTGCAATCGTTACCTACGTATATACTTGTACCTTGTTTACGTCGTACGCAGGTCAGATTCAGATGGTTCATAATATTATTAGATCAAGGGTTATGCTTACTTATAGTTCTCATGAGAAAATGGCTACAAATGGAAATGTAAAGATCGATTAAGTGAAAGAGGACCGTGAGTTAATGAATAGGGGGAGTTTTTCCATGCATTTCGCTATTTTTTCCATCTGGAAAGCATTTTAAAACATTTTATTGATTATAAGATTGCACCGTATAATCCCCCAAAATATTTCTTATTTTCAAGGATAATCTATGGATTAACAGTCAGGTATATTTATTGGTTTCATGTATGTCAATAATTTCTCAAATTGTGTAAACTGAACACATTCTTTAATCACTAGAATATTCTCTTGGAGGAATTTCCCATAGAAATCCAATGGTATAGTTCCAAGCAGATTATGACATCACAGGACAGTAAATCTTTAATACACACCTTATTTGGCTGCGATATGAACCAACAAAAAAGTGATAGATATGTCTTTGAAAAAATCTAGAGCCAATGGTAAGAAACTGTTTGATCAACCCTGCTTGTATTATACAAAAATTGAAAATGTCATGATTGGTAAAGGACCATGTAGCATTTTTTTAGTTTAAAGAGGGTATTCTGCTATATTTATCGTCATTTAAACAAGGATGTTATTGTAAATTATAATTGTTCTCTCCAATTTACTATGGAGGCAATGAAAATACACAAACGAACGTGACATATGCACGTATCACGAATTACTTACTATACTTTGGATATTAATTAATTAAGAATTCTACAATGATAAAGATTTCATTCACAGTTTCAAATTGAAATCATTGAGCAACAATCAGAATTGGCTATTGATATTATGTGAAATAATAGGTACTTTCTACATAGAGTAAGGTGGATGATATCAGAAAGTACAGAAAGGTGACATCATAATATTACTAGAGTTCACCACAAATACACACCAGGGAACACAACAAAATGGGCGCTGAAAGGCAGTTTGATCTCTACTTTTCTCCAATTTTCATAGCTTTGGGATTATTTGGAAATACGATGTCTTTTAAGATCACCTTGGGTGGAACAAATTGGAAAAAATCCATTTGCGTATACATGGGGATGTTGGCGCTGGTTGATCTGTGCCAGAACCTCGTTTGGCTGGCACACTGGACTGCAACATCGTTGATGGAGAACAAGGGGATAAGTTTGGAATTTTGCAGGGCATGGGTGTATTTATCTGCTAGCCTAGGAGAAGTCTCCATCTGGATTGTGATCTGTATGACTGTGGAAAGGTTCATCGTCGTTTGGTTCCCGTTTAAAGCTAAATTATACTGTACTCCAAAACGCGCAAAAATTGTACTAGCAATTTTGATTCCCGCCATGCTAAGCAGAATGATTCACATGCCATTTGAGACATTTCTAGTACTTGGGGAGAATGGGAAACCCGTTGCATGCAGCGCATTTGACCCGAATAATTATCAGAACTTCTACTTCTCTGTCATCTGCCCATGGGTGGATATGATACTAGAGTCGATACTTCCTCCAATTCTTCTCCTTTCTTTCAATACGTGTATCATAATTGGCATCAAAAGGAACAGATGTACATTGAATCAGTTTGCATCCACCCAAACAGGTAAAAGAATATCTCATGATCACGACAATCAGCTAACATTGCAATTATTGTGTGTATCGTTCGCTGTTCTGGTGTTCACATTACCGTTTAATGTTTTGCTTCTTTGTGACCTCTTTGGCGTAACTTCCAACATGTCACCAGAGTGTTTCTTGCTGCTATTCACCATCCTCAACAGAATATGGACAACGAATGGGGCGATCAACTTTTTGCTTTATATAATTGCTGGGAAGAGATTCCGCAAAGAATTTATCAAAAATGTAACATTCGCTAAGGGCGTTTCAAAAACTCTCAACAGTCGTACAATAAAACTTTCAACAATCTTTTCAACTCGGTTATGATCACTCGGCAACCAGGAAAATCAACGTATCCATGGTAACTAATAAACAAAGAATCACATGGATACGATAAGATGTAAATATAGCAGAAAAAATTACCAGATTACCTTGTGGCGAACTGAGACTACAACAATTCGCAATCCAAATAAGTAAACAATCAGACAAAAACGGTGACCACTACTACATCGTATGGCGTGTTTGTGTGAAGCAAAAGAAGACTGAGCAAGACCTAATACAAGTGGACTAGAAGCATGAAATAAATGTCCATGGAACCTTGTACAGTAAAACAACAAATAAGATTAATTGTCATTATCTCTTTAAAATAATGATTACAGGTAACCACATCATTTGAATCAAAATTATAAATAGACAGTAACTGGTAAACTGGGTCAATGTTTTATGTTCAACCTTGTTTTCATGACTTTTAAACATGAGTCGACAATTATGTAAGAAATTACATTTTCATTTTCAAACTATACCCTCTATTATTTTGATTGCATTGCACAATATGCAATTTTCATTCCGCACTTTGGTAACACTTTGAAAGAGAATTCTTGAAAAATTGTTCGAACTTTCACAAGAGGTTTCATGCATTTTCATTGGTTTGATTGAGCCTCATCTCAAATCATACTCAAATCCGATACCATAATAATAAATTAAAGGGAAACATTAGACTCAACAGATTAGATGATAAACCGTTTCGAGCATTTATGATTTGAGTTAAACTGTGTATATTTATATAAATGTAAGTTGGCATGTATTCGACATTGATGTACACATATGATTGTCACTTATCAATGCAGTATAGGAGTATACCATTGACAAAATGTAACGCAATTACTACATATATAATATATCTATATATAGATTATCGCTTACATAAGTTACTTAGCAAATAATTGTTTTATATTTTAAGCGTTCAGTGTTGAATGAGAAAGATGATGTTGTTGCGTAAATGACTAGGCAGTTCGTAGCAGAATATGATCTATAGCGTGACATAATTGATCAAGTAATTACTTGTCATAATAGTGCAGTCAGAATGTGGGTTTGAGCGTGCGTCCGGAGGGATTTTATGAGACATATTTTTTTGTGTTACTAGTATGTTTTTACATGTTTCTATGAATTATTGGACCTTGGTTTTTCAGCTTTTAGATTTTATAGCCATTTTACCCCCCATGGACTGCAATTTGGACTCCTACTATGAAATTGGTCTACTACTCCAAGAATACTTTGTGGAATGGATCCATATTACCAGGGTATGTTGGAATGGGGTAGCTTGATGTGTCATAAAAATTTCATGCCTGACACTTTGTTGGTTGCTATGGAAACGGATAAAACATACCTTGCGCACCTCAATTTGCAGGGCATTTTTTCAGGAAAGACAAAGAAAATGAGCTTATATTAAGTCTCTGATTTGGAGGGAAGGTATAAAATGTGCATAGAAAACATCTAAAATCCATAGCCAATAATTATAGATTATAGAGTTATAATTATTAATTATAGAGTATAGATTAATGCATTAAATCTCAGATTTTGGTTTCCTATGGGTCCGTGAATTACACAGGGGTCTATTTCACCCATTCGGACCCTAGCATTGGATGGATGCTATAACTTTTGAATTAAGGCAGATACAGATCTCATATTTTCAGATCTCAGAGAATGATTGATTTTGGGTATTGTATCAGATGTTGGGACTTGGTATGTGATTGGTTGCCATGGTAACTAGATTAAACACTTAGCGGAATGCCATACAGTATTGTATTATGTCGTTATTATATTGAATCTTACAATTTTAATATTCTACAATTTTGAGGTTGACAATTTGATGTTGATTATAGTAATACTTGATTTTTAAACTAGTTCAGAAAATGTCATTGATAAGTTATGAAAATTCACATGTGGCTTGTCATGACTCTTCAAAGGAGGAGGTTTAAAAGTATATGAACACATGGTTTTTTGAATAATATTCAAAATATAGCTCACTTTATAGGTAAGATCAAGCATATTTTCTATTTTTTCAGTTACTTTGGCTACAATGTTCATATTATAAAAGAGCAATTCAATTTGAATTTTAAGATATCTTAAGAAATCTTCACCCATGTGTGACCTGAGTTCCAAATGTTTATCATAAATCATAATTAATTAAAAGACTCTGATAGCCTTGTATAGAATATACAGTTTAGTAAATCTTTGATTTAGAAAAAGTTCTGATTTCCTTTAAGGTTCAACATGTCAGATCATCTGCTAAGAAAAAGGCCCAGTTCAAGCACAAGCCCAACACCTTCAAGTAGCAGGCCCAAACATTTATTCTCGGACAAAGAATGTCTATTCTGTGACAAACATATAAAACACTTGAAAGGAAAGAAAAAAGACACTTTAATACAATGTTTGACAAAAAGTGCCATGGAAACCATTATTCAATCAATTAAGAAGAAAGAAGATTGGGCCTTATTATCAAAAGTTGGTGATCGTGATCTTATTGCATATGAGGCGATGTATCATAGTAGTTGTAGGAGGGCCTACACACGATCTAGTCCTAATAAAAGTTTGAATGACAGTAATGGTTACAAATATGAAGAGATGGATGACTATAATGTGCTTCACATCTACGAATATATTGATAAAAAAGTAATAGCTGAAAACCGAATTGTGACATTGGATCAATTAACACTATGGTACAAAGAAAAAGTGAACATTAATGTGTTGAAGCTTGTCAGGCCCTCTAGGATAAAGAACAGTATTATGTGTCGATATGGTGATGATGTCAAGTTCTATCTATCAGATAAAACTGAATATATCTACAATTCCAATCTGACTGTAAATGATCTCATAGAGTCAAGCTACAACTATGCCAACATGGACAGTGATGAACTAATAAAGAAAACAGCAAATATAGTTCACAATGAAATATCTGAAGCCAGCCAAGCAAATGTAGAACCTACATGGCCTCCAAATGTGGATGAACTTATGGGCAAAATGAACTCATCAGTGCCAAAGAATCTTGAACTATTATTGACTATTATTTTATGTGGTAAATCAGAAACATAAGACAAAAAGCAAACATGTTATATAAATTCAATTGCACAGGACATTATTTACTGTTCTTGTAACAAGATGTGGTATCAAATACCTCCTAAACATCAGCTTTTAGCCATATCTGTGCAACATATGACAGGTAGCAAACAGCTTGTGCAGCTTTTGAATAGGTTAGGTCATTGTGTCACATACACTAATGTTCTTGACATTGAAACTGCTTTTTGTGAGAAGGTTCAGAATCAAATATCCCTCATTCCACCTACAATATCAATACCACTCAATGATGTGCTATTATTCTGCTTTGACAACTTTGATTTAAATGAAGAGACCCCAACCGGTGCTGGGACAACTCACTTAACCCATGGTATTGTTATACAACAGAAGAGTGTAATTCCCCATGTCCCTCCTGAAATGACAGATGATAATGATGGTCTTAACCCTCCCCCTGTACTTACTCCTCAGTCAGTGAGACCAAAGAAAGTCAAGACATCAGTGGTTGTTGAAACAATAGAACTGCCTCCATGTTACGTGAAGAAACAGGTAGAGCCTCCTAAGCTATTTGTCAATTTTGAGTCAACATACGATCAACTTAAAGCTGTAGAAAAGGCAAAATCAGAAGATTTTGAATCCTTTGTCGACACTTCTCATCTGAAAGCCAAATTGTACCAGGATGGGCCGGCTGGGTCTCATTGACAGGACTTACATCAAGTGAAAGCCCAAGAAACTCAACAACAGAGTATCTTCCACCCATTTTGTCTGCCATCACAGAGAATGCCACAGTGTATGAGTGCATAAAGATTGCACTGGATGGAACAAGGGAGGTTGGTCAGAGCTACCCTATCATAACTATGGACCCTGCAGCAGCAAAGAAGGCTCTTAACATAGTGTGGCAAACACCCCAGTTCAGTTCAGCCATTGTTCTACTTGGCGGGTTTCACCTTGTTTGTGCCTATTTATCAGCCCTGGGCAAATTCATCACTCATTCAAGTTTTGAAGAGGTGCTGCTTCAGTCAGAGATATGTGCAAGTGGCTCCATTGATTCTGTAATGAAGGGAAAACATTACAACCGTGCCATGTCTGTTCATAAGTCTGTATATGAAGCCATAATGAGGCTTCTTCTAAACCAGTTCTTTGAACAATACAATTTATCTTGTGATGTTAGTACTGTACTCCAGACTCTATCTTCAACAATATCCAGGGAGCAACTCATGGAAACCTTAGAAAAGCAAGATGTTAAAGCACTTCTAGAAAACCTCAATATCTTCATGACCAACATTAGAACCGGTGTAACAGGAGTATAAGTCCCCTTGGGAAATAAGTCCGTAGGACTTGGATTCCTAGGAAAGTAGGTCCTACGGACCTACGTCTCTAGGACCGGACCTCCGTTCCTAGTATACGTTGTCCTAGTCGGACATATAATCCAGGCTATGATATATATGAAAAATTACTACGGACGTATTTTCCTGACGGACTTGGATTCCTGCTACAGCAGTGATAGGAATTTAGGTCCATGTGAAACTCTATATTGATCATGTAATTAGTCTGTACATAAATATACAAAGAAAAGCGCATGACCAACCATCCATGATAGCTCACTAAGTAGAGCGTTTGGTAGTAATAGATATTTATAATTTAGCCAGAAGTAGAACCCTTGTTCGACTCCCCTTGGCTCCCTATTTATTTTTTATGTTTTTTTCATTTAATTTTATTTTGGGAGGGTCGGACTTATTTTAAGCTTTGACATTCACGCAATAACATTGACAACATACGGTGACAAAATATACCGTCGTGCACGTTGGATGTACGGTGTCACTATCAACTGATTTGAAGCAAAACCTATCATGTAGATTTGATGTACATGTAAGCCTACGTTTTAAAAATCTGAGGAAAACAAAATGATTTATTTCTAATTTCGTGCGTATTCGCTTCAAAAGACTTTTAGCTTTCTGATTACGTTGAAAGATATTCGACCAGTGCTTATTTTTTTCGTAGTAAATCTACAACACAAAATTTATCGGCTAGAAAATGTTTGTTTTTTCACATTTCATTCGATAATTTTTTCCCGTGTCGCCTGAAAGTGTCGATTATTTTTATGAGAATATGTTTCTCTCAACTACACAATTAAGGATGGTCGAAGACTTAATAAATATTATGTATTGGGTATATGTACGTTGTCAATTCCACTGTACGGTGTCAGTGTAATTGAAATTCATAAGATGTAATATTAAACAATGCAATAATGTTATTATTCCATCGAAGTTCGGAAGGATATAGGGAACGCCACCGTCCTTTCGTCCATCAGTCCGTCCGTCGGGTTTTGCTTCAAATCAGTTAATAGTGACACCGTACATCTAAAGTGCAATAACTCAAATGGCGTTGGCCCGATTTTGTTGATATTTTGTACACAAATACCCTATGGGGGTAGAAATTCTGCTCGAAAGCCAATTTTCAAAATGTCAGCTCATTTTGAAATGGGGGCCATTTTAGTGCCGATCTTACAGTGACTTAGGTACAACATGTAAAACTGTTATAGCAATATGTTTTAAATTAAAAAGATATATAGGATATTAAGATAGAAATGTAGATATCAAAGAAGCACATGGCAGCCATCTTGAAAAATGGCGGCCTTTACACGCTATTCTTGCTGTAACTTGAAAAGTAGTTGAGCGATTTTGTTCATATTTGATATGTGGATACTATAAGCATGACACACTGTCTAATGACACTTCTAATTGGTAGAAGCTCGCCTTTTTGAAAAATGGCCGCCATTTTAACGTTTTTTGCTCTAACTTTAAGTAGTGGAGCAATTTTCTTCATATTTGGTATGTGAATTCTATAAGCATGGTACACTGTCTAACGACAATTTTGGTAGAAGGCGGCCATTTTGGTAAATGGCCGCCATTTTAACGTTCGAAAAGTAGTGAAGCAATTTTGTTCATATTTGATGTGAATACTATAAGTATGACACACTGTCTAATGACACGTTGGAGAGTAGGCGGCCATTTTGAAAAATGGCCACAAATTTTAGGTGTGTTATTTTACCCTTTTCACTATAACTCAAAAGGTAAAAGAGCAATTTTGAAAAACTAACTACCTTGAAGGATTAATGAAATGATCATGGTGTGATCTAATATATTTGGCTTATATCGTGTGAAGAAATAACTAAGAAAGGATAAAAAATGGCAGAAAGAGCCAAAGGTCCTGAAATTCTTGATCACACCTCGCACGTGTGTGCAATTTTGTTGAAAGTCTATATGTGTCTTCTTAGAAGCATACATCACTTTCTGATGACAATTTGGCTATAGTGAGCAACCATTTTGAAAATGGTAGCCATTTTGTGTGTTATTTTACGATTGGCTATTCGAATGTTGCTGTTGTCTAGTTTTTAATCCATTCAGGTTTTTAATCAGTAACAAGTGATGTTGAACGAACATGTTCAAGTATCCCCAATACAGATGTTGTCAGAGATAGGGTAAATGTGATTTTTGACCTCTTGTTGAGTGCTATTTTATTTAATGAAATTGTTGGTTCTTAGATACAACATCGTGATCATTTGGCGTTTGTACGTTTACGTTCTGTTAAGATTATAATTTTATGAATTTCAATAATCTTAAGAAGTTGATAGAGAGATCGCAATACTAGGTACAGCTAGTCGAAGATGACTTTTAAAATCCCGTTCATGCGTTTGTATATCTGGAAAGTGCATAGGTTCAATAGTGCAACAAGTTAAAGTAATTGTTCAGCTTCAGTTCTAAATGCATCTGACCCCTGTCGATTAGTGTTATAAAAAATACGTTGTCTGCAATAGGTTTAACTGTGAATTGAGATGTGTAATTTCAATGGGACAACGTACACTGAATTGACAACGTACACTTGTGATTTTTTAAATTGTAGCCAAAAACGTAAATACTTGTTAAATCTTCAACCGACCTAAATTGTGCAAGTTCGAGAAACATATTCTCATAAAAACAATCGACACTCTTAGGCGTCACAGTGGCAGGGGAACAATTATCAAAGGAAATGTGAAAAACATCATCTTCCAACCGATACATTTTGTGGGTAGATTTACAATGAAAAGGAGAATCTTTTAACGTAATCAGAAAGCTAAAAGTCTTTCGAAGCGAATACACACCAAATTAAACATAAAATCCTTTATATATAATTCAGATTAGATTTTTAAGACGTACATCAATCCTACATCATAGTTTTTGTTTCAAATCACTTAATAGTGACACAGTTCGTCTGAAGTGTACGACGATATATTTGTCACTGTACGCTGTCTATGATTAGGCGTGAACAATAAACCAACACATATTTGATTTGGTAAGTGTCGTGAGTAATTATAGGAATTCAGAGATATTTTCAGACATTTTATACATGGAGATAACCAATTCAAATTGTATTGTCATATTTTGCCCGTGAAAAAAAATGACATGCAATATTTATGTGTTGGATGTTTTATTGTTGATTTTATGAAAACTTGAATTGAAAGGTTGACATATTAAGGTAAAAAAGTTTACATGGACTTAAATTTCTGACAGGCATCCAGGATTACAAATCCGCTACGGACGACTCATCCTAGGCATAGGACATACAGTCCTAAGGAAAATATGTCCGATGGACTTATTTTCCTAGGTATGGAAGTCCCTGGACTTATTTTCCTAGGACTTATACGCGCCACAAAAGAGAACAACTTAGATCTTCATGTGGCATCTTACCAACCGCTTCTTGACACATTCTTTGTCTTTGACCTCCACAACTATCCAAGGTTTGCCACATTTCAATATCTCACCCTGCTAAACATAGAAACAACTCACCATGGAACTGAGGAACTACTCAGAAAGAATGGCCTATCCGTAGGAAAGTCAGATGTCCCATGTAGCAGGAATATGGTGGATATTACCATTGAGCAGACCATAAACTGCATTGCCAAGACAAAAGGAGGGATAATAGGCTTCAGTACAAACACAGGGGCTTATAGAAGATGGTGTGTGTCCAGGAGCGAGCGAGCATCCTTCACTGAATCAACTCTAGAATGGACAGGCCTAAGTGGTGATTCAGATGAAACTA